ATGTAAGCGAGGATGGAGTGAGATCCACGCCTCGCGTGGAAGGTGGAGTCCGCGGGGTTCACGGGCTCACTCGCTCCGGCGCTGACAAGGGACACCTGGAAGCAGACGCTATCGCGGCCAGGGCCAGCGCAGCCTCCAGCCGGGCGTCAGACTCCTGCTCCGCCAGCGCTGCGGGCGCGCCTCAGGCCACTTGGCCCCGTCCAGCGGAGCTCAGCCCACCGCCTGGCAGTGTCCCCAAGCCGGCCAAGCCTCAGCCAGATGCCCCAGGACTGCATGTGTGCTAGGATTTGGGGAGTTGCGCTTGATGAAGCCAGAGGCAGCCTGGAACTTGTTCTCAGAGATGGGAGAGAAGGCAAGAAGCATTTGCAGTGGCCCAGCCCCACTATCTTTGGGTTGTCAGAGACAGGGAGGCTGTTTTATGCTCGGCGAGCCTGTGACCTATTTGCGGTGGAACAAAAACTAAAAATCAATGGAAACTCCCTCGGTACTGCTTTCCTTTGCCTGTTCATCTTGGTGGCTGCTGAGATTGAGCGTGTAAAGGGTGCTGAGGCAAGAGAAACTCCCAGAAAACAGGCAGAACAAATCTGTAGATAACTCAACAAGATGTTGGAACCTGTGAATTAGTCTTCAAATTCCTAACAGCTGCGAGTGAGGACTAAAGCTGAAGCAATTCAGAAAGATTTGGGGGCGGGCGTGGTTAGGTGGTGAATTCCTGGTGTAAGGATAAAGGATAAATGAGTCAAATAAGGCCAGTCTAGACAAAAGGAAGGCAAATGTATGAACATACCAGTTATGCTTCACAAGATAGCGTTGTGAGAAAAATCCATTTCTAAGATTAGTGCATTTCAAAATTAATAATTTATCGTGTAATAGTTCATTTCAAAGTGGAATAGGAGCCGCGTGTAAATACACACACATTCACACTGGTGGGGGCAGGAAGGAAGAAGGGGGAGAGAAAATGTGAATTTCAAGTCTAATTTGAACCATAGTCATAAATCCGTTGAGGTGAGCAGGCCAGGTAACTTTTGCATTTCTTGATTTTTTTTTTCTGAAATACTCTCCTAGAGCTTTTGCTAATGCCTCATGAGTTTGCCTGTCCAGTTCCATCGAAACCTTTACCCATTGTGTATGCTTTGGGTGGATTTCATAGACCTGGAACTTTTTCTGAAATACTCTCCTAGAGCTTTTGCTAATGCCTTATGAGTTTGCCTGCCCAGTTCCATGGAAACCTTTACCCATTGTGTATGCTTTGGGTGGATTTCATAGACCTGGAACGGTCACTCTTGGGAGGGACACTGATAAAATTAGCCCCTTCTTATTTCCATGGAGACTCTGCCTGCCACTTTAAAATCGCTTCATTTTCTTTAGCTTCCCCCACGAGGCCACACCACATTTAGGTAAGAGGTCACCGTCACGTGCTGGTGCCAGATGGGAGGATGAATCTACAATGATTTTTCACTGGATGGCATCCACCCAAAAGGCCACGTGTATTTTTTCTTCTAATCTGTAAAATGGGTCTACTAGAAATAATGATATGTGAGTTTTTGCGAGGTTTGAATGAGTTAAATATAGGTAAAAAGCGTGGCCTAGAGTCATTGTTGATAGCTCCTTGGTATGAAGATTCTCAGCTTTTCTTTCTACCCCAGGCAGTTCTATTTAACAGCACTTTCTCCAGTTAAGGTTGAGAGTATGTTTGTGTCTGTGTTCTCCAAAATTGTGGTTACTGCCTCCCACACCTGCCAGGATGTTGCAAGTGTGCCTTCTTTGAAATGGCAGTTTTAACTTTTATGTCAATAATCATTTGAATGTTGACAGATATCTGGAGATGATGGCTACCTCCGTGGATGGTGCTAATCACATGTCAATGTCCTGAATAGTACCACCAGAAGGGACTATGATTAAACCTAGTGGTTTTCTTTATCATTTTCTCCAAGAAGGATAAGAGCTTGAAGTTCACCAGAGAAACCTCTGTGCAAACTCAGTGCTGTATAAACAAGACTCCAAAAGTTGTAAAGCGCCAGGCGTGGTGGTATGTGTTTTTCTTCCTCAGAACTCAGGAGGCAGAAGAAAGAGAATCCAAGTTTGAGGCCAGCATGGTCTACAGTGGGAGCTCTAGGATGGCCAGGGCTATATAGAAAGAACCTGCTTCAAACAAAGACAAAATTGTAAAGTCATTAATTTATTTGTTATTCCCTTCCTTTGGTTGTCTTTCCCAACTAGAACTTAACTCATTTGAAGAAGACACCTTGTCTTGTGGGTCTTTCCATCCCAACATCCTTAGCACAGATTGTGATATTCAATGTGTTGCTATTTAGTCAGGGTTGGTTGGCTGGAGGCTCACATGGTCACCAAAATCTGGGGCAGCTGAGGAAGGTTAAAAAATTCATGTCTTCTTGATCTTGTCTTTAAAGCACTCATTGTGCAAAACTTCATGAAATTAATTCCTTAAAGGCACCAGTAAGCAATAAGGCAAGAGAAAGTAGTTCAATACTAAAATTCAGCCTAAAGAGGGCAGGAGAATGGTTTGAGAAGGGCTGCATAGAGATGAAGGAGAAACAGCAGAGAGCACACTAACTGGGCCAGGGAAAGCACCTGTGAAGAGAACAGCTCCAGGTTGCAGGCAGGCTACAGGCTGCCTTTGTATCAGCATTCTGCCTAGAGCCACCAACTGTCACACTTGTGTCTTCCTGGAAACAAACAAACAAACAAACAAACAAAACAGTTCCGTGTTCCCGGGGCTGCTGAGTGCAGGCTCACTAAGTCTCTGAGTTCTGGGCTCAAATGTCCCTGCCTAGAGATGATTCTGACTAATTTCTGGGAAGTAGAAACAACTCATCACCTTCCGTTCCATTCACCTGCTTGGATTTCCCAAGTGCTGCTTATTTTACATATCACCCACATATCTGAATGCTTATTTTATACATCTCTATGCATATGTGCATCCATAAATATGTGCAAGTATAAATACTTGTCAGTAGAATGTATGCATCTCAAGGGGAGGATATTTCCCCTATTATGTTCAGCACTCTGCCCAGAATATAGAACACAGCCTAGCACATAGTTGATAAATATTTCTTGGATATTGAATAGGCGAGTGTGAGCCAGTGGATTTGAAAAGTGAGCCAAGTCCTGAATAGCACCCTGTGCATTTTCAAATGTTATGTAGGCTTTTCTAACTGCTGAATAAAAATCAAATGTGAATAAAATTGAACCCAAAGTGTATCTAAATGTGACCTTTCAGGTTTGGAATACCGCAGGTGTTTAAGGAACCAACATGAAATGCAGCTCATTTTTGAAAAATAAAAAGCTTCATTTCAATCCATGTACAAGGGCTTCCTATTTCTTGGCTCTGGTAAGTGGAGAATTAACTGTGGGATAATAAATCCCAGTGACAGGTGCTAATGGGAATTAAGCATGCAAATCCCCTGCATATCCCTCCAGAAATCTACACCAAGAAAAGTATGCTATTTAGCGTGTGGGCTGCTTAGTAATAATAGTATTTACTCTAAACCACTGTGGAAAAAGTTTCCAGTGCCTGGCTTACATAAAATGAACTGAGCATATATTTTCATTACAGAAATACTTTCTCTCATTTTTATCTCTGTCCTTGTATTTGATTCTTCACATTTTTGTACTTTTATGGTTGCCTAAAAATAATTCTCTGTAGTGGGGATATTATTAACTGGCTACACAGAAACAGGATTTTACCAAATAAATAGGATGACAGTAAGGGGCTGTCATGAAATAGGGATGGGGGATGCTCATGGAGATCTCTTGACACCTGACTGACAGATACACCTCCAGTAAGGGAGGCCAGATGGCCCTGAATCATCTGGTTCAATCCTCCTTCTCTTCTTGAACCTGGAGAAATACTTAGTCTCTCATAAACCTGTATACTCTGAATCTTTGTGCTTTTTGCTCATTATATTAAGCAAGACCCTTTACAAGTGAAAGCAATCTGACCTAATCTACCTCGTTTAAAAGGTAATGATTTATTAATTTATCCAACTTAAAAGCCATGAGGGGGCAATGTCTGTACTACCATTTATGGATTAATTGCTATGTTCAGATGATGATTCTACTCTTTGAGTACTATCTCACTTAATTATCACACTGGATATTGAATTATAAAGTACCACTACTGTCTTACTCCAAAATACTGAAAATGGGAATCTGTGAGAAACACAAATGTATCTCCCTATATTTGTGAAGGCAACTGTAAACTCTAAGATGGCATTGCTGGCAACTGTAAGATTCTTCTTGATGAGTCATCTAATCAATGGGCAAAGACAATGAGAGGTTTGAGGGAGCAGGGGGAATTGGGCCCCTCATCCTTTTATAAGGAACCCGTTTCCACACAGATAAACCTCCTCATGTGATAACTTAGTGCATTTATGAGGACAGTGCACAATGATTCCGTTGCCTTCCGGAAGGCACCCATGACTCAGTACTAGAGTGGTGCACTTTAAGTGTCCCACACATGAACTTTGGAGTCACATGGAAACCTGGGAGTTATTATTTTTATACAGAAGGAAGCAGAGTGGATAAACAATACAGT